GTTTAGGGGTAAATTGCAAAAACCGCTTTGAACATTTTTATCAATTCAACCACTGCGTCGATTCAATTTTTTTTCTTCTGGAGCACATCAGAACATTATTTCTCCATCCAAAAATCCAAACCCCCCCCCCCCGAGATAGCTGAGAAACCTCAAGTTGACAGTTTTAAGGTATTGCACGTTATCTCTCTTTATGACTACTGCTCTATTCTATTGTTCATGTCCAGAAAGAAGAAAAAGGAAAAAAACGAGAGGAGAGGATAAAAAGATAGGGCTCTCTCCCTCACACACACTCTATCTCTGTTCCACAAAGCACTTCTTGGGGTGCTTGTCTCTGGAGGATGGATGTAATTTTGATGGAAACGAACAGAGTGTGGATGGGAGAATGAATTGTAGACGGAGAAGGGGTTGACCTTCTTCGCAGCGGGGGGTGGGGGTGGGGTTATCTATCTATCACGAAAGGGCAAGGCAAGTAAGCAAGGTCCTGCTGACTGGGTAGAGAGAGGGTGTGATGCTGACGTGGCTTAGGGTATCTATCTATCTCTCTCTTAGTGCGAAGCCATTGACAAGAGGGGGGATGGGGCGGTCCTCTAAAATAAATAATTTGGTAACTCATTATTGTTATTATTATTACTACGCGCAATGCCAACATAATATCAACTCCATATTCCACGATTTTGCCATGCAAGACCATTTCCCAGGACGGTAATTTTAGTTTTATTCTCCGCTTGGCACTCACTCTCTCGCTCTTTCTCGCTCTCTCTTTTACAAACAGAAAAGGAGAGAAGAAAGAAGCAATAAGATTCATGTTAAAAGCATAATACTGCAAAACAACAAAAGAATGAATAAACTAAACGCGGTGTGAATGGGGGATCCATGGTTCCAAAGTGCGCAGGAGTGTATCAGAGGAGCATCATCGCACCTCCACGGCAGCGGGGCATCACGGAGGATGAATGGATCGATGAATATGTGCATGGGTGGATGAGTTGCACCTAATTCCGCCGCGTCCTCACCACACCTGCAGATAGGCAGGCAGGTTGGTAGGTAGGTAGGAAGGTAGGAAGGTAGGAGGGGGTGCCCCTACTACTACTATTTCTTCGAGGAGTGGACACTGAACACACAGAGATAGAGAATAGAGACAGTAGAGAGAATAGGGTAGGGTTGGGTTGGGTTGAGTTAGGGAGGAGCCACAGAAGAAGAAGGAGAAGAAGAGCGGGCAAGTAAGCAAGCAAACAATCCCTTCCCTTCCCTGCCCTCCAGCGTGAGACCCCCTCATTCGCCTGATTCTCCTGGTCCTCCTCACCCTGGATGGAGCCTGCCTGCCTGCCTGCCTTTCTTCTGACTGACTAAATGGTAGTGTGGTGAATGACATAATAATCCTGGTTGGTCCCGAGGGATTTGGGGGATCTGGCCCCCCGATAGCCCGGGCGGACCTTTCCCGGCATCCCGACAAATGCCCGCTTTCGTCTTAACCCTCTCCCTCCCACCAAATCCCCCCCTTTCTGGGGGGGGGGGTCATCGGTTCCACGGGAGCAACCACACGGCACACAAAAGATTCATATTCAAATATATATATATATATATATATATATGAATCCTGTTCGAATGCATGGACCTGTTCCAATTATTTCTGTGCCCCTGCTACTTCAACATGTATCCTTGCCCCCCCCCTTGTGTGTTCTTTACTCTCATATATATATATATATATATAATTTTTGAAATTTTTATTCTTCCTTTTTAATTTATTTAGTTGCATAAATCACTATAAAAAGAATGGAGAGAGGTATTTGTCCAAAATAATCAAAGTCCTCTCTTTTGGTTCCCTTTGACACAGAAGAATTCAAATTTGACATCATTTGCTGATGGACAATTTGTGGGTTCATCCAGTATTGATAGCACATGCAACATGATATGATATGTGTTTTTGTTCTCAACATAAATATAATTTTTTTGTTCTCATGGCTCAAGCAATAAAAATAGTAAGCATTGAAATCCAATGACAAACGTTCCATCAAGATGAACATGGTGAGCTATTAATTGATCAAATATTGCATCAAACAAATCCAATATATGTGTTTGGCATCAAATCACATCTTGCCATGAAATATGAGTTGGAGTTCGATATTTTTGGACCAATATCCAAGAATGTTGATGCATGGTGTGGTAAAATACATGTAAACACATCCTAAAGATTCTTGTATAAACAAAATGGTGGGATAGCAAAAGCTGTACTAAGTTCTGGTGAAGGGATGCAAATCCACTCTAATGATAATGTTATGCAATGGGTAAATCCTTGTTTTTATTAAAAATAACATAAACAACAAAAACAAAAATTATATTATCCCTAGCATTGTTCTTGTTAGAAGATACAACATTAAGCACTACAAAGAAACTGATGAAGCAACGAGTGAGACACTTAAACTTGAAGTCGATGCAATAATTTTTTGTCGATGAATAACACACACATAGCAAAGTTACACAACATACTTGGTGAATGTCTCCATTTTAGTTGCAGTAACAACCATCAGTTGCAGTGGTTCACCAAAGAAAAAAGAAAAATGGAAAGAGCTTGAAATAATAATCAATTAGAGGAAATTGGAAGTAAAAATCAGCATTTGAAATGTAAGATTTGTCAATGATACGATTAGTAACTGTTGCCTAGATAATCGAAATATTTCATCATCACGGAGACAATAAATTTGTAATATAAAAAATATTACTTTTCATTCCTTTGAAATAATATTTTACTCACGCTAGTATAAACAGAATTGAGCTAATATTTAGGTTGGAGCCTTAATACTCTCGTCCAGCAATTTATTCACGCGTATTTAAGGCATGATTGAACTCATTAACCACCGAATAAACATATACTTGATACTTATTGAGATTACAAGAATGTTCTTGCGCCAACCCCTACATCGGAATTCGTGATGTAAGACAACACGTTTTTTAAAAAGAACACAGCTATATTTTAATTTACTATCAGAGAAAATTCACTCCTATTTCTTACTATTTGTGTGCAGTTTCGGTAAACACCTGACTTTGTTGTGTTTGTTGGGAAGCGAACAATTCCAAGTCTCGTGAATGGAGAACCAAAGGAAAAGGGAACGTGGTCATTATGGACCATTAAAGTTACTGAAGGACAGAGATCTTCCGCAAGGCGCAGTGAGATCACCTGAATCTAAGCACCACTCAATCCCCTGTTCTCAGTCCTTCCATCCAGAGGACGCCGTCTGTTCATTGACGACCATCCCTTTGTATTTCCCTCGCCGTGCAATGGAAGGCGTCTTCCATCTCCCGCAAGAAGAAAAGAGAATGCGAGACAAATCCAACGGGTTAGTACTTACTAGTGCCTCCACTCCATGGACACACTTGTCCACGTCACAGCACGTGAGTTGGATGAACAACGAACTGCCCTATCGAGGAGCTCCACGTATATGTCCACGCTGGCTGTCTGGTGAGGATAATCACGCGAGGCAGCCGATGACGTGGAGGGAGGAAAGTGCGACGCATATCCCGTGAAGTGAGAGGGAGGGGCTGTGGAGGAGTCCCCGAAGGTCAGAGGGGTGCAGCTAAATTTGGTATTAGCTAGTTTTGGATTGGCCAACCGCTACAGGCCTTGTATGAGTAGGAGACAAAATTAAGGAGGAGTTAGTCCCCATTTAGGAGTTAGTTGGGGTGTGATGAGGCTTGGCGTCGGGTTGGATAGGCCTGCCAAGGCCTAACCAGCAGCTAATTTTGTGGGGCTTTACTGAGCCTCGTGGTCAATGCTGGTTCTCCATTCACGACGCTCTCTTCGTCATGTACAGTGAACAAGGATAATGTTCCCTCTGTTCACAAAATATTAGTATATGTCAGTATCATTGGCCATCTTGGTCGCTGATAGTTTTGATAATGCTTTATATTGGGCATCATTTTTAAAATATTTTCATAGAGAAAATTTCTTCCAGGGTTTTGGTGGGGCTGGGAGATTCTACATAGAGGCTCTTCTTGCACTCAATTTAGAAAGATACAAGTCAAAAGATGTCCAGAAATGAATCGTTGGAAATCATTGAAGAGTATGTAGAGATGCATTGGAATGGATGGAAAGGAGGGCCAGATGGGGAGTTAAAAGAGTGCTGAGAAGCGGGTTATGGTTTTCGGCATGGACTTTCCTTTTAGAGATGGAGGAAAAGGAGAAAGTGGTTGGCTGGCAAGTGAGTCCAAACTGAGTGATCTGCCTGCATTTAAAAGGAGTAGGAGAAATATGAAGAAAGATACATAAAATAATAATAAAGTATAATAATAACCAAACACCTTTCTGCTTTCAGCCTTGGGAAATGACAAAACTAAAGTACAAACCACCAAAGCCTCTCCAAATACCTCACTCACCACACCCATTCGAAAAGCAGACTTGAAATCTCAACTACCACCACCACCACTAGGATGAACGTACCACTCTGTATGTCCGTCCACACCCTTGCGAATTCTTCGCACATGTACGTATCCGCCAGGGTGAGCAAATCGTCTAATGTCGGGTTTAGATCTCGTCCCCATTTACACCTCCTCCACGCCACGCACGATATTTTTATGAACAGCAAAAAATGTATAATGGGATCCAGGCTTTACACGAGAGAAGGACAGGAGTACCGTCTGCTCATCCGTGTGAACGTGGACTGGGGTCTCGAAGAAGAAGGAGTAGGGCAGGGCAGGGCAGGGGCAGAGTAGCAGAATCTGGGTCACAGAGGCAGAGCAGAGCCAGCTCTTGCGGAGATTACGAGGAGGAGGGAGAGGGGGGATGAAAGCAAGCGGGCACTCACTCACTCACTCATTCACTCTCACTCACACATTCACTCTACGCACTGTGGAGATCTCCCGTAACGAGAGAACCAAATCCGGGAGGCGGGGGTTTGTCCGCTAGTGCGCTCAACAGTGGGATTTTATCGGGATTTCCGTGACCCGGCCCTGTCGCCTTCCCAACCCTGTATTGTCGTCTTCTTCCTGTCTCTTGTCTTCTCTGCATACTCTTCCAAACTCTTCCCGTCTCTCACGCATTCTGCCTTTGTCGCTCTCTCGCTCTTGGGCCCCCCTCGCTCTCCCTCCTTTTTCACTCCCTGCCTCTTCCTCGCTCGCTCGCTCGCTCCCTCTTCCTCGTCCCTTGACTTCGACTCAAGGAAATGCTCACTTACTGGCGTCCCTTTGTTGCTCCTTACCTCCCCTCCCTCCCTTGGTGCGTTACTTCGGGAAGCGAGCGTCTTTAACTTCTTCTACAGTTCCTTGTTATGAACGTCACGTTAGTTTCCTCATCTCTATCTGTTGTAGGGCCAGATCAGTTTAGGCGTCATTGCGTCTCGTGGAAATAATCCAGCGCTGTAGGTCTTAAGTATTTCCGAGGCTTTTTTCATGATCGATATCAGACCGTGTTCGAGTTTCCGAGAATCGTTGCGTGCGGTCGCGGGCTGATTGCTGAGAGATTAGGTTGCATGTGCTGGTTTGGATCCGGGTGTAGACGCGGACCGTGGGTTTGAGAATGGTTTAAGCTCTGATTTCTGGTCCATGAGGTTGGGAGGGGCATGCTGCGTTTGCTGATTCAAGAGAGTTCTGGAATTTGTAGGCAGGAAAGGTAGAGAATCGACACAGAATTTATTTACTTATTTTGTTATCGTGAGCACTTCTGAGGGGGTTGGTTTGCGTAATCAATTTCGAGTTCTGAATCACCGATCTGGTGATAAGTTTAAGGCACTCCGTGGAGGTGGCGTCGCGATTGATTGATTGATTGATTGTTTTTTTTTTTTTTTTTTTTTTTTCTTGAAAGAGGAAAACACCATCCTGATTGGCCTCAGTCTTGGTGAGGTGTGGATTGGTTGAGTGAGAAGGAAGTCGGAAACGTCGTAAGCTTTTGGAGAAGTTTTTTGGAGTACACCGTTGCTGTTGCTTCAACTTGCAGAATATTCAGCTCTTTGTAAGTTCTTTTTGCCTCGGTCATCGATCTTGCTGAGTGTCCGTCTTTGTTATCAAATAATTTTAATCAATTATTATTATTATTTTGTGATTTTGTTTTGGATAGTAGCGCATTGAGGTACTGTTGACGCTATTACAGTGGTTACGATTTTTGAATGCATGCGACCATCCTTTTTTCATTACCGAAGTCTCACCTTCTTGGGCATTTTGTATGCTTCCTTCATCGGTGAGGCATTCGGCGTTGATCGTTCAAATTAAGTGTAGTGCAAACACGCCTTTTTCTATCTTCTACACCGTGCTACCCTGTCAGATTTATAGTGGCCGAAGCTTAGAGTATGTCACTTGTCATATTGGACAGTAAAAGGCATTTAGTATATTGTTCCGCATGTGTTATGATGCCGGTAGTTTGGGTTTTCACACATTTGACAAATGCCAGTGCTTCTCGTTGCCTTGGATGAACGGTAGTCGATTTGCCTCTCTGTATTGCAATTTCTGAATATTAATCCAGGTTCCTAGTGCTTGTGTCCATCGAAAATTCTGTGTGGGGCTGTACACTCGCTAGTGCGGTTGAACGATGTAGTTGTTCGTTAAGCTAACCTTGGGTAGGGTAGTTTCAGTTCCTACGTCATACTTAATACAAATACTTCCAATTAAAGATTCAAGTGACGTGCGAAAATCATTGGGAATAGGAAAAGTCAATCCTCTGCTTACTTTGTGACGATTTGATCTATGAATGTTGATAATGGGCAATTCTGTAATACCATCGTAAACAATTCTCTTTGGAGTTAAAGAGGTTTTCATTGTAATCCATTCACCTTTGTTGAAGCTTTTAAATACTCTACAGTATTGGATAGTTGAATACCCATTACACATCACTATTTAACAAACTTATTCAACTCCTGCAGATTCTCATCTTTCTTGAATCCGAATTGCTGGGAAAATTTTAGATATTCTCGGGATAAGTGGAGCCATTTCAAAACGTGCGTTTGTGAAGTCTTGCTTACTGCGAACGGCTTCTCTTCCATCTTGGTGGAGTCACGATCAAGATTCCCTGTTTCGGTGGTATAATTACCATACTTATCTACTGAATCGAGGCCCGAAAGGAACTCAAAATGCATGGCTGCAGTAATCGACACCAGTAGTGCAGAGAAAGTTTGTGAGACGTCTGGTAGATTAGCGAGTGCGGAGGTCAGTGTAATGGATGCCATGGTGCAGAGCGTCAGCAAATTCGAAGGGACAATGGAGCCCAGCATGCTCTCCCCTTACCATGATATGAAACCGTGGAAGGTTCTACTGCCTGCAGAACGTGCCAAGTTGCAAAGTAAATGCAGGGAGAAGTCCAGGAACATGTGTGGAGTTGGCTCAGCCAGAACTGGTGAAAGAGTTGGCACAGGGGACCAGAAGGCTGAAGCAAATGGTCATGTTCTTCAGAAGTTCGACTCGGAATCATCTGGATCTGAAGATCCTCGATCCGAGGAAACTTCATCGGATTCAGTTCCTAACTTTAGTAACTCCGAGTATCATGTTCTTGCTGTGGATGATAGCATAATTGACCGAAAAGTAATCGAGAGACTTTTGAAAACCTCATCTTACAAAGGTATGGAATGATGCCTGGTCCTTTTTGTTTTGTGTTTTTGTTTGTTTGTTATAACCTTAAGTAAAGATACCATGCTACATTCTTGTGCTGTGGGTTGGTGAGAATCGTTTGAACTCAACTGCTCACTAGCATTTTGTTTTGGCTTGCAGTTACAACTGTGAACAGTGCCTTGAGAGCATTGGAGTATCTGGGACTTTCTGAAAGCTGCTCCTCCTCAGGGAAGCCAAATGTAAGTATTTTTTTTGACGTTTAAATTTCTAAAATATGTATTATCTCACAAGCGAAAATACATACGATGTGATGCTGTTGCTTTGTGAAGTGAACCATGTAACTGATTGAATTCTTCATCTCATTTGCAGAAAGGGGCTGTGAATCTTATCATGACGGACTATTGTATGCCGGGGATGACTGGATATGACCTCCTCAAAATTGTGAAGGTATTTACTTTTTGCGCTAGTTATTGTCTATATTTGAGATAGTGTTCTAGCGTTTGAGCTATGATGTGTAGACTCTGTCAAGTTGCAGTCAGCTTGCAACCGTAGGACTGGTTCGAACGAGTCTTCCTACGTACAGTGACGCTGCAGCTTCGTTGGATACTCATTCCATGCCGTTTATATGATCTTCCCCTTGTCATTGAGATGTAGTGATTAATCCTTGGTTATGAATGTTATTGCAGGCTGAAACCTCAGCTTTTAAGGAGTTACCAGTTATTGTGATGTCATCAGAAAATGACAGCAATCGCATTAAAAGGTATGCTTTATGCTTGGAATACTTTTGCTCTAGAAATGTAATTAATGTCTATTGAGTAATGACTTGTGAATTTAGTACATTAATCTCCTGTTCTGATGTTTTCTCGTTGATGTTTGTAATTCAGTTGCCTTGCAGAGGGTGCTGAAGATTTCCTTATTAAACCTGTACAGTTGGAAGATGTTCAGCGGCTGCATGGTCACATGAGATCCTCTGCCGCATCTTCTGGATCCAATGAAAGTTCAAATTCGTCGGTCTGCTTAAAAAGAAAATCTTCTGATGGTTTGCAACCGAACAGTCCTGTAAGAAGACCCAGATATAGCGGACTAGCTGTTGCTTAATGTGAACATTTAACGCTTCTTAGTATTAAAAATCAAAGGTCAGGTGCAGCACTGGATCAAATTCCATGTGCTGACGCAAGACTCAAGGTTGGATGTGTGACGATTGGAGGAAATGTAGGTGGGCTGAAGTTCGCCTCGTCAAAGAGATTTCTCGTACATAATTTGTGCGGTTGTGAATGTGGTAGTCAGCGACCTCAAGATAAGTACCACATCGGAAGATGAAAGATCATGAAGGATTTCAGTGTCTTTAAGTGAAGGCCTTGATAAGCTACAAGACCTGAGGGAGTACGCACCAGAGGCCATGCTGCTAAGCAATGTCAGTGATGATACCAAGAAATACTAAAAGGGCCTGTGATTGTATTTCTCATGGAGAGAGAAAGAGAAATCTGTACCTGATCTTAGAAAATGTGTATCATAGATGATGCAGCAACAGTAGGTGCTGAATTTTTTGCCACACTTGCCTAGAATTTTTGGCTAGTGTCTGGTTTCCTGCTTGGAACAGGACAGCTTCCAAGTACACACCCATGCTACATCTGTGTGGTCTCACCTACAGAGCAGTTTTTCCTCAAGCCTCTGAAAAATGTGAAGACCTTTTGCTATTCTGATCACTATCCAAAATGCATGCAAATTTTGCATGTTGGCGAAACTAGCCAACAGAAACAGCTGGCCCCTAACTTTGTGAAAATTCTCTCATTCTACAAATCAAATTGCCCTCGTCAAATGTGTACCTCTACAAGTTCTCGACCTGTTTGAATGTTACGTTTTATTAATTTTGAGACAGAGGCAGTTAATTCCTCTGAAAATAAATTAATATTCAAGTTTCTGTTTCACAGTCCTAATTTTTCTGTTGTGCTTCCACGTTGGAGTAGTAGATTCTTGATTGGGTGGAGTACATTTCTGTATCACATGGATGTGTTTAAATCTATTACTTCAAACCAAATTTTTAAATTGTTTTTTTGTATTGGGTTCAACTTTTAACACCTTTAGACTAGTTCTAACATGTTTTACATTACTCTATCAAACAGAGTTACAAGGTTTTTTTTTTTTTTTTTTTTTTTTTTTTTTCGGTTCTTTCATTCTGCAAATCATTTTGTCTAAAAACAGAATTGATTTGTTGTAACCTACTTAAATTCTCCATATGTAGACACCAACAATTAGAAATAACAAAACTTTTGTAGTAAATATTTTATTAAGTTTTCTTGTGAATATTACATAATGTAGGCTAAGAGTTAGCTACAAACTCTATGTAAACCATTTTTTACCAAGTTTGTTAAGTACAATTGTGTTCCATTTCTAGGCATGATTGGCAGGTAGGTATTTCTAAGTCAACCTTTATTATTTTTATTTATTTTACATTTATTTGATAATCTCAATGGAATTCAAAAGAATATGCTTAAATCATTTTTGCTGTTTTTTGAATATTGTTACATATATTTGGATATAAGTCTCATTTGGCTATCTATTTGGTTTTGACCCTAATCCAATATTTTCTATTTTATTGGTGTTCCAAGGTTTATAAATGAATATGTTGTTATCTAAGTTCCTATCAAATATATATAAGCTAAGATATATATTACACAAAAAAGTAGACTACTATGTATTAGACATTTAAGTAGGTTACAATCACAATACAATTTTTTGTAAAAAATAAAAGATGTATATTTGTATAGATTTTGTTCTAACTTTGGTTTCGTATAAGTAATTGAAGTTCTTTGGTGATGACAAATAAATTGATTTGAAGCAAAATAATATTTTATACCTAATGTATAATGTATAGCTTGTGGGTAGGCGACTTCTAATCCTTCTTTACAATTTGTCAAATGATTAGGGGATTTATCTCTAACAAATCCTTCAATCACAGCAAATTTCTCTAGAGACAGAACAACTTGTTTCACAATATCCTCATCCACTTTTTTTTTTTTTATCGCAAGCTTCGAGTTTCTTAATAAAAATAGATCTCTGAAGTTGCATGAGAAGTCAGTCCTCTTGAAGATAGACAGAAAGATAGATCGTCCGAAAAAACCTGCTTGGGTCGGTGGACTCTGATTTGCGGGACATTGTCTAGAGAGAGTTGACTTTGTCCCGACTCACATCTGATAGAGTAACGTCCTTTTTTCTGTTATTGATCATTGAAGGGACTTGTAAGAAACATGTCGTGTTGTGGGAGCATTGCAGCCCGGCGGTATTCTCCGAAGCGTATCTGCGCTGCGAGATTTTGCATGCAGGTAGGCCCTACTGATTGTGAGTTTGAGGCCGTAAAAATTGACAAGTTCTCCCGGTATGTGGGGCTTTGTGCTGTGCCAATCTCCACCAAATCGCTAGAGACGGGGCGATGCGTAAGGCAGCTGAGCGGATTCAGTTTTTATTGCTCTCAGTTTGCGAGTAATGGGTTCGGGGTGAATCTGAAGATGGAGGCGATGGTGGGGGCACGTAGATATGGTTTCTGATTCGCACGGCTGGGCGATCTAGTAATGATAGAAGGGAGCAAGAGGGAATAGAGGCCGCCACGCGATTATCACCACACCTCGACATCGGACGCTTGGCGTCATTACCGCTAATGCAGCCTCCGGATGTGACGATTGAGAATCTCGCGCAGAAGTAGACAGATCTCATACCACTGTGACGGAAGTCCAAGCCGTCCAATATGACCTTGACTGCGCGTATCGCTATGGAGTTCTTTTAGAAGCGTGATCTCGTGCTCAATTTCCAGCCCGTAAATGCCATCTGTGTCAATGTCTCAAGCAGAAGGCAGTTCCATCATCTCAATGTCCAGAAAGCGACTTGAAACTGCACTGAATTTTCGCAATGGAGCTCTTGTGGTGCAAGGAACTATCGATACGGCAGGTCTTTCGAACGACCACGTCAGGTTTTGACTCACGTTTACTCACCGAATCACTCTCTTGCGGATCAATTCCTATTGGGAAACTCTTGCCAAGTTTCGTCACATGCTGAAATTCCTTGGCACCGGTCAAGCTGTGTCTTCAGGTCTATTGCACATGGTTTTAAAGAGTAGGGTCAAAAGATGTAAGATGTAATTCAGGATCGTCTTCATGCTACGTACTTCTAATAGCACCACTCCCAACACCATGTGCGAACACGTCTTCGTCATTGAACTGGCTGAGTTTGACTGAAAATATTGCGCGTGACTTGTGAAAATTCATATCGCTGAGTACATTTCTCTGAAGATGTTTTAGCACTTGTATGTGAGATGCACCATTCGCTCACTTTGAAATTTATTCCAACTTAACCGCCTCCCGCAGATTTTATCCATAAGATCTTTAAATTGCTCGTTTACTAAACTATGAGGCGGGCTCACATCATTCAGAAACTACAATTTACAATGTTGCAATTCGTTACTGCTCAAACGACGGGATTGATTACATTCGACAAAAAAGCACATGAAGTTCTGTTTATCCATGGTTCGAATTGTGATTGGCGGAATAATGTTTACACTGACGCACAGCAGAATAATCCTTCGGATCTGATTCAGAGTAAGAGCTTGAAGGAAGGTAGCACACGGAAGACTGGAGGGAACAAGAAAATAGTTCACTTAACAATAGTTGGTACATGATTTAAATAATGGCAAAGGTCTATCTCTGATGATAACGAACAGATCTACTACAAATGAAACCCTAACAAAAGACAACTACTAACACCCCCTCTTGTTTGGAGTGACGGCTGTTTTATAAGATTCACAATGATAGAACAAATTATGGAAATACCAAATAACTTAGTGGTAAGGATACTAGTTTTGAGTACTATTGATTATAAGTTTTATCTTTCAATTATGTTAATGAGTTTTTATTTTTATTTTGACAAGTACAACAGTTATTGTTGGCATTGAGGTTGGTCCTTTGAAAGATTCACTCCATATTGATTGGATTGATTTGAGTTGTTTAGCGTTGAATCCTCAAACAACTGTTATACAAAGGAGGTGATGAGGATTATCTCCAAAGGTAGAAGTGAAGCTTGAAAGTTTGGCTTGTACATCTCTTAGGCTAACATTAACTTATTGTTATTATGCCATTTTTGTTGAATGATGTGTTGGCATATATGTATCTTTGCTGGCATATGAGAAGGAGGTAAATAGAATTAGTGGCACTTGGTACAAAGGTTTCAAAATTAGAGAAGAAGCAAAAGCTTTCTTAGAGACAAGGATCTAAGATTAGGCATGTAGTTAGAATATTAGAACTTCAAACATAGTTTTTAAATTTAATAAGCTTTGACAATACTCAAACTTTGTTTATTCCTTAGCTTTTATCAAAATATTAGCCAATTGTTCAATAGATGCTTTGAATTCTACTTTCATTATGTTATCACACTAAATTTTTTTAGGCATGCCATTACCAAATCTAAGTTCTTATATTAAATGTCAAGTCCACATAGCTTCATACATTGCCTTTGAAGGGCGTAATATTTTGCTTCACAAGAAGAACAAGATATGATATTCTGGTTCTTATTACACTAAGAAATTATCTTTTGGTAAAATTATTTTAAAAAAAGGAATTCTATGCCATTATTCACCTCTTGCTAATGCCATTTTGATGCAATATATAAGCTTACAAAAGTTTCTAACAAATACTATAATTTTTGCAATAATTCTTGAATTTTGAAGAAAAGAACTCTATGCTATTATTTGGTTAGAGTGTTTTTAATTTTCTTTCAGTTTGCCTTTCAATAAGTTGATGAAAAATCCAAATTTTTATAAAATAATTACTTATTTTAAAAAAATAATTTATATATGTATATTTCAAAAAATTATCAATAATTTCAAGAAAGTATTGAGCTTTTCTTAATGATTTTATTCAAAAGGGTCTTATAATATTAGTATAAATCAAATCAAGAATAGTGGAAGATAATATAATGCATGTCTGTAGGATTTTGGATTTGATTTGTTTTTCTTTTAAGCATATGTTGCAAGATATGTTGGTGATAGAGGCATTAAGAAGACTATTAATGACCTATTATTACGTCATATGTTTGATAATGAAGATGGCTAAGGTACCCATAATAGAAAGAAAATATTGATTGATGAGATAAAATATAAGCTAGAATTTGTAGTTAGATTATAATAATAATCTCTTGTAATTTATATAAATCATTGTAGTTTTATTATAGAGCTTCTGTGATAGTTGTACCAGAGGCATCTTATATCAAGCATACATGTTATATGAATTCTAATACAAAGTTTTTTTTTGCAAGTAAAATGATTGATATGAGATTCTTTTAGATGCTTGATGAATATAAAACATGAATGATGGTTTTTAATTCATTGAAAGGAAGTTGAATTATAACTTCACCAATACCACATACATTGTAGCTAGAACCTTTGACCAAAGTTATTTTTGTTTAACTAGGTTATTATTGAGGAACAAGCACTTTGAAGTCACAACACTTAGCATCAACAAGGTGTATACAAAAGGGAGTATGGATTAAGATAACTCTTACTTCCAATACTTCTTACTTATAGGTGGTGGTTGCCAACTGACGAGGCAACTTCCATTAATGTTACATCCATTTTTATTTCATCCAACTAATCTCTAGGTTCTTTCTTAACCTAGCCACTACCTACAAATCCTAGCCGCCACCTACAAATCCTATATACTACCATAGTAACTTCCTTATACTCTTTTGTCTCCTTTTGACTATTAGCAACTTATCTAAGGTAATATCTTTTACTAAGTGACTTACTTCAATACTCC